GTCCCCACTGTACACACCCTGCAAGATTCTTGATTTTATCCTAAAAAAAATAAAATAAAAAATATTTTTAATTCTTACCTTGACTGCTGATGCTAATGTGGAATGAAGGACAAATGATAGACCCAGTGCTTTTAATTCCCTGATTTGGTTACTCTCATGCCCAGTTAAAGACTTGGGTGGTTATGAGTTCTCCATTGAGCTGTGTTATCTGATTAATGATCATATTTGGTGTGAGGCCACATTATAAAAATTAACTAGCCTAAAACAGAGAAAATGTTTTGTAAGTGTTTTCATTGCATATCTCTGTGGCTCCTTTCAATGCTTATATGCAACAACTTTATATTTATTAGAAGGGGATAACTTTTCATATCAGATAAGATGCAGTGTTTATCAAAATGGCTATATTGGGTTTTTGACAACTCCAGTTAATTGGATTTTGGGCAAAAGGAATGAAGAAGATATCTGTTGGAGAATTTGTAAAGCTAAAGTTGTCTGGTGTAAGCCAGTTTTTTGTCTACAGATGGCTTTGGATTCTAGCATGCATTAGTCTTTCTGGAATAAAGGGAATTATTTTCTAAAATAACAGGAGAATACCAGATTTGGGAAGGCTGCTACAGGCAAGTCAGTCTATTTCACTTAGATTATTAATACTGCAGGTAGTCCTCAGTTAATAACTGCAACTAGGACCAGAATTGCCATCACTAAGCAACGTGGTCATAAAGCAGGATGTCACATGACTGTGGCACTTAGGAATGGCAGTCCCAGTTGCCATTGTTAAGCAAGGTCCATGTGGGTTGTTAAGTGAGGACCTCACATGATTGCGACTTCCAGTTTCCTTCCGGCTTCCCCATTGACTTTGCTTGTGGGAAGCTGACAGGGAACATCAGAAATCACAGTCACGTGACTGCAGCTTGCTGTGATGTTGTAATTGAGAGCCAGGCCCTGAGAGCCCGGATCACAATCATATGACCACTAGGATGCTGTGAGGGCTGGAACTCTGAGGACCGGTCATAAGTAGTACTCGTTCAGCGCTGTCACAAGTTCCAACAGTCGCTGAATGAGTGGTTGTTAAACAAGGATCAACTGTACTTGGAAAGAAGCAGCTCCTCAGATTCTGGGACAACATAAATCACAGAATGGGGATTATGTGGTGCTTAGATTTTTAAAATGGTTAAACAAGAACAGGTGAATGTCTGAACTGTTTCACTTGTTCTGCAACCAGAGAGCATTCTGCAATGTTTTTTAACTGATGTGTAATAAAAGCTTTATCCCTTATGCTTTCTCCCATACTTTTAAATACTACTTGGTAGCCCTGTTGTTGTGATATGGATGGAGAATGTAGTATGCTGCGCAAACACCTTTATCTGAACACATGACCAATCACCTAATCCAGAAGGTCTTGGGTTCTTGATGTGTAATGCCATGTGTTCTGTGACTTCAATTTTCATGCCTTTGGGGCTGATTCAAGTAATGCTTGTGAATTCATGGTCTGCATGGTGACCATGGGCTTGTCCTAGGTAATCTCTGGCCCAGTATATGTAAGCGGGCACAGGTGAGCCCTCACTTTCATCTCAGAGCAAATGGATGGTGATGTGAATGTGAAGGGCATCTTTATCAGCCCTTTCCTTTGGTTAGATGACTCCTTAAAACAGATGAGATTAATTGCCACCCATAACCTCTGTAGAACATTCAGACCAAGTTCAGATGGTTCATCTGAGGTGCATATAGATCTGAGTAATTTCCGGCAGGCACATGAGAATTTTCCTAGGGATCTTGCAGACCATTCCGCTATGTTCCTCATTAGCCACTGGCAGCAAGTGGTGATATAGATGCTTGACAGAATTGCCCCCAAGCAACTCCTCTCCTTTGGCCAACCTAGGATGGCCCCTTGGTTTGCTGAAGGGCTCTGGGAAATGAAACAACTGAAGAGATGCCTACAGTGCTGGTGGAGGAAGACAGAAGGTGAATCTGACTGAGCACAAGAATGAGTTACATTCAAGCTGATTCCATGACAAAGGAGGCAAAGCATAATTAACTTTTCCTCCCTTATTGCTTTGGTGCGTTGTTGTTCAGAAGTCCTGTTACAGATGGCCAATTCCCTTCTGGCTGCTATGACAGTTTAGCACAGCATTTTGTCCCTCAGATTTGCCAAAATCTTACCTCCGCATGGACAGTGTGTTGTGGCGACTGGGGCAATGTCTAGCCTTGTTATCTGGGATTAGTTTTGGCATGCAAATTCTAATGTAGTGGATACTGTTCTCTCAAAGCTCTCCCTGGCCATTTGTGAGGTTGATCCCTGCTCTCTGGCTTTTTAGGGAATCCAGCAATTAAAATTAATCAAGCTTAATATGTTACATGAAAGCAACTGATAGATGTTTGACTGGCCTGGTGAAGTGTACTGTGTAACCCAGCCAGTGTTTTACATAAACTTTTGGATGCTGGAATAAGGAATGCTGGATAGATGAAAGTGGAGGCATATCTGGTAGTGATTCTTGAGAGTCCAGGATCTCTGCCTGTGCCAGTTCTCGTAGTGAATACTACGATATTGGAGGCGGAGAAAAATGAGAAGTGGCAAGGAGCAAAAGTTAAACGTCCATCAATTGCTTCTTTTTTCCCAATAATTTTCTTGCTATTTTCTCAGGGTCTGCTATGCATATCTAGTCTAAACCTGCATAAAAATGAAGTTAAGAAGTAGTTGTTTCCATGGTGTATTTTCCCATTATAATTCCCCCATGTCCCCAAAGCTGCTTTGGAAGGTTGGGAAATCTCTGGAATATAGTTAAGGCATCAGGCTAGAAACCAGGAGACTGTGAGTTCGAGTCCTGCCTTAGTCTCAAAGCCAGCTTGGGCCAGTCACTCTCTCTCAGCCCTAGGAAGGAGGCAATGGCAAACCACTTCCAAAAGCCTTGCCAAAGAAAACTGCAGGGACTTGACTAGGTAGTCACCAGAAGTCAAAACTGACTTGATAGATAGAAGGATGGATGGATGGAGTAAGAAAGGGAGACTGGCAAACATCAGTTGCCTTGCCTCACCTGAATGGAAATGCTTTGTACTAGCACAAAGGTATTGTTGGGATATTGACTATATCTAATTACCTGCCTTTGATTTAACCAGTTGCAGGTAATTCACTGGTGATGTAAGGATACAAGGAATGGCTTGGAGTAGATCACTATAGTTTATTTGCAATGGTAGTTTTAGACATTTTATTTTAGAATGCAACATTGCCTAGAGATAGGTCCATTTTACAGTGAGGACTTTTAGTATCTATTTTCAGATTTGACAAACATTCAACATACATGAACCTTTTGAAGGAGCAGATGCTTAGATTTAGAGATTTGTCTGCACATGGGCTATTCTTTTTTTTTTTTTAACTTTTGGCTAGTATGCTTTCCCCTCCCCCATATATTGCTGGGTCCATATCTTGACCAGTAGGGGACTTTCTGTTTCTACTGCCTCTTTTACAGTAAGTTTCATCATATAGTGCTCCTTCCCTGTACGGCAGAACTTCCTATTAAAGCTATACTTAATTACTGGCCAGTCTTGTTTTGAAAAAATGCAAAGGCTGTAGACAGCAGAATCTCTCTTAGTAACTTGTTCTACTCTTGAATCTTCCTTACAGTTACAATGATGATTACTTAAAACTGTTGCAGTTACAGAAATAACAAAAAAATTTTTTTTGCATTTCCCAAGCTACCAATTAACTCTAAAAAAGAAAAAATTAAAAAGCCATATTGATATAACAAATATTATATAAGTTTGTTGAATTCATAGCATTGAAAAGACCTTTAAATAAATATTTTTAGTCCTAAATATCGTGTGTTCATACTATACAAAGACTAATATGAGCATTTGGACTGTGAAACCAATTACTATGAGAGGTGGTGATCTCTCCTTTGCTAGATGCGCTCAGAGGCTGGGCAGCCACCTGCCACGGATTCTTTCCTTTGGATTCCTGCCTTTAGGGCATAAGGGAACTGACGGTGATCTAGTCCAGCAATTTGTACATTCTAGTAGTAAAGGCTCTAATGTGTTTATTTTGGGCTGTTGGATTTCTGTATGGCGTGTGTGTGCACGCCCATTCTTTAGCACAGAAGGAAAGATGTAGACACTGTCATGGATCGTTTTTCTGTAAGCCTGTACATTATAGGCAATGACAGACATGTTGACTTCACACCAGCTTCTAAACAGTACAAACTTTGCTAATAGTGTCAAGTTAGGGGGTAAAAGCCACTGGAGACTTCCTAGCAAAAAGAAGCTAATACATTGGAACCCTTGAGTTCCATTTTTGATCTGTCTCTTTTTTAATGTTTTGTTTAAACTTCCCTCTGTTAAAAGTCATCTTTTAGGGAAGATTTGAAGGCATGTGATAAGCACACATTCCAAGGTTCTCTCAATCCTTAGCTTCTAGATATAACTTTTGGAAAAGACATATCAGTTTGATTAAAAGGTAGGCATCATCTTTGCTATAGCATTCTTTGCTATAGAAAGGGATGTACAGTTTAACCTATAAATTCTTTAAGCAAGAAACTCCCTGGTTCTTGATTCGGTACAGTTTTGGAATTACCTTAGATTGCTATTCTATATATACTTACTTGGGAATAAGTCTCATTGAACTGAATATATAGGAATAGCAAATTTATCAAATACCATCTGTGTAAAAAATCTACTTGTGAGCAACAAGGAGGAGTCAGGTGAACTGTGCTGAACCCTTTAAAAAGCAGCTATTAATCTATAGCCTGATAGGAAAGAAAGCAAATTTATCCTGGGAGGAATTTCTTCCCTCAGAGTTACAAAGATTTTGGCAGGAGCTCTTGTGAATTTATTTTCTTGGCCATAATTCTGTGTAGTCTAATTCCTGTCTCTAAAGAGTTAACATAGAAGAGAGAGATTTGCTAGCTATTTTTGGTTCCCAAAGAGAAAAGATATCCTGAAAGATATCCAAAGGGAGGATTACCAGTTTTGCCCTCAGTCTCACAAGTGGCTCATTCTTATGGTTCTAGGCTCCTTGATGAACTGCCAGATTCAGTAACAAGGTGGGCTCCTGCAGGAACATATTGCGGTAAGTGTAAACACATGTGAGCCTTATTATATTTCTCGCTTGAGGATAGCCACTCAAATTGTTGGTTCATGACTCCAAATGGCCAACTTTTCTATTTTGAACTTGGTTTGAAATGACTGAAATGTGTATCTTCACAGTGGGTAGAAGAGAAAAGGACACTCTTCTCTTTCCTCCAAGCTTACTGAGCTATGGCCTGGTCAAAATCTTTTCCCTTACTTTCCCTCTTTAGGCTTCTGCTGGGTGCAGTGTACTGCAATGTATTCTAGAGCTACCTTGAACGAGAAGAGTCTCTTAAACCTTCCATAAAATTTACCCTTGGCCACCTATCAATTACTTTAACCCTGACAGAGTGCTTTTCTAAAAAAGAAAAGAGTGATGTAGGCTCTATAGACATCCCACAGGGATATTTCTTTCAGTGAGAGATAAAGGAATAGATCAGTGTTTCTCAACCTTGGCG